GGGGCCCTGGGAGCACATGCTGGGGAGCACAGGACTCAGGCTTTGCTGCCGGGCCACTGAGCCAAGAGCCCCAGGCCTGTGACACTGGGGCCAGGTGCCCTCCAGTTGAGGGCCTGTGACACGAGCTTCTCTCTCCCACTCAGGTGGGCACAGGCCCAGGTGTGGGCTTCAACGTCAACATGGCTTTCACTGGCGGCCTCGATCCCCCCATGGGAGACGCGGAGTATTTGGCGGCCTTCAGGTAAGTGTCCCTTCTTGTCCCACGGGGCACTTGTCAGACAATTGGAGGTTCCACACCAGTGTCCCCAGCTCTTGCTCGGTTTTACTGATGTCCTTGGACCTTCCTCTTCCTACACACACACACACACACACACACCCCGAGGCCCCTCTCTGGTAGGCCCCTCCCCCGGCATCCCTAGGGGCCCCGCACAGGGGGGGCATTTCTGTAGCAGCCTTTTCTCTTAGTTGGTTCTCAGAGCCTCAGCTGGAGTCTGAGACTGTCTTGTCACCTCTGTTCGGCAGCGGGTCCGTCTTGGGCTTTAAGAGAGACACGGGAACCCTTCTGGGTTTTGACAGTAAGGAAGTGACTGAGGCCCGGGTGAGGACTTCAGTGCGGGGCTCAGAAAGGTGGATGCTTGCTTCGGAAAGATTTCATGATCTCCCAGCTGTCCTTCCAGTGAAGTCCTTGTGGGACAATGAGAGGCAGGAATCCGTGTCCCGCCTTCCCTGCTGCGGTTCTAGGGAGGTGCGTGGCCGCCGTCTGCCCCGCTAGGACAGCTGTGCGACGGTTCCTTTAAACAGAGTGTTTGCTTTTGTCATGAAGTGGTGATTTCTCCTTTGATCTGGGCCAGGTTGAAGTAGTTCCTGCGACCAAACACAGACCCTCAGCAACGCGGGCTTTCTGCCGCTTGTTTTAAGTGGCGGCCTCTCCCTTCTCCCCGGAATGTGGGGCTCTGGGGCTCCAGGGCCCCGTGAGGAGAAGGGTGCTGTTCAGCGTGCTAGGTCTCTCGGTCGTCGTTAGAAAACACTGTCGGTGCGCTGGGAATTGGAGCCCCGTGAAGTTTCCTCCCTGCCTGTTTCTCGAATTCCCTGCTCTCCTTCTGCCATAAATCTAAAGCACGCGTGTGTACGCATGATGCCTGTGTCTCTGTGGACATGCGTGTGCATGTATCCACGTGCACAGGGCTGTGAGCGTGTAGGCACGTGTGCAGGTGCGAGAGCGTGTGCATGCGTGTGTGTCTCTGGTGGGGGTGGCTCCGTAGGAGGACACGTCTCTACACGTTCTGCCGTAGCATCCGCCGTGTGCTCCGGGGGGCCCCGCGGGGGCCACGGGACCCCTCGCGTTCGTCTCCGAACACAGTTCTGCTCCCCAGACTCGGAACGGTTGTTGGCTCTGGCACGATGCATCGCTGTGTGGATAGAAGCTCCTTCCCAGCTGCTCGTGGTTCACGGAAGTAACGGCTCAAATTTGGTTAAGTCGAGGCAGCAGGTTAGCTTCTCCAGCAACGAAGTTGGTTTTTACAATCGCGTCCGTCACCTCCCCAGCTGGTTTCTCTGCCCTGGTTTCCCCGAGTCACTTTTTCCTTTAATCTCATTGAGTTAATTTTGATGTGTCTTCCTACCCCTCATCAGATATAATGTAATTTTGACAATCGCGTGCCTAATTTAAGGGAGAGGGACTCCCCCAGCGGGTACGGGATCTGGCAGTTTGCCCGTGTGCCTGGTTAAGAATCCACGGCACGAAATCCGAGCCCGTGCAGCACCCGCAGCGGGGGCCTCGCTGCCGTCCGCGGAACGCCTGTGCCACCTTGTCACCCCTCGGCCCGAGAACCAGCCCTCTCGGAAGGCCGCTTGGAAAGTAAAGTGTCTGGGCACCTGCCGTGAGGACCGTTGGTTGGCTGGGGACCCCAGGGCACGCCGCGGGCAGAGGGCGGCGCTGTGCTCGGCTGGGCTGGCCGCAGCAGTGGGGGCAGCTCCGTACTTCACGTCACCCCTGCTTTCGGTCAGGCTTCAGCCTCACTGGGTGCTCTGGGTGCTCTGGTCCCGAGACGGGGACGCCCAGCACCGGGAGGTGGCCCTCCGGCCGCGGGCGACCCCCCTCCCCCAGCCGCCCGCCTGGGGCCAGCCTTTAAGATGAACCTTTCTCTCCGAGTTGCTGTTGACATTGTGTTTTAATCTTCTGCCAAGCGCGTACATGATGATACCTTATCAAATGAACTTTTTAAAGCTTAAATAGCCTCTTTGAAAACGAAAATTGTTTCAGGGTTTTTTTGGTTTTTTGTTTTTTTTTTTTTTTTTTTTTTTTTATTGATTTCAATGTAAAGTAGCACTTTGAAGTTTACAATTTATGGTTCCCTGGGCATCGATCGGCTAGGGGAAAGAAGGGTCAGGATCCGTCTTCCCCTTTCTTCTGTGCGTCTCCCCCTTTCGGGGGGCCCCTGGGGACAATGCGGGCCTTAGAGGCAGCACCTTGTTACTCAGACCCACGGCCTGCCACATTGCGTTTCAGGAGATCAAGCCTGGGATGAAGAAGAGATAAGAAAATTGCCCCTAATGAAATCCAGAAGTGGCGGCACTTTCTCCTGGGGCTCAGACTTGAGGACAAAAGGCAACCCTAATTCAAACCAGCCCGTGCCAGACGGGCTTTGAAGTGCAGAAGCAGGGGCGAAGGCCCCGTGGATGGAGAGGATGCGCTCTCCTTCCCCTCCCCTACCTGCCATCCGGTGTCAGCGCTCGGGAAGCGAAACTGGGATTACGTGTGCTTTTAGATCACAGCTTTGCTTTAAATGTGCTTTTATAAAGTGTATCAGAGATGTCAGTGAAACTGGATATTTTGAAGTGGTAACTTTAATCTTTTAACGAGTCGCGATTTGCCTTTAAATTGAGCCACTGGGTAGATTCACGTCCTTTTCGCCAACCTTTCAAGCGTGACCCGAAGACGGAGGCTCTCGGAGCTTATGTTACTTCATAAGCTGTTTTGTGGGAGTTTGTTCCTTTTTCTTCCTAACGAAAAATTCTTTACAAAATCGTTTTTAATTTTTATTTATTGTTGTGAAACGTGCTTGGCACTTCCCGTGTTAGCCGTGGGGGCGAGCACAGCTCGGAGGCACCCACCGCGTGGGTCTGTCCACAGAGGCTCTAAGAGTCCAGGCCCCATTGTTGTGAAGACGTTGGATCCAAACCCCCGGACCTCGTTTGCTAGAGGCAGTGATGGCCCTGGGAGGGTGTCCACACCCCTTCCCGTGTGGAAACTTTCCCGGAGGACGTTCCATGGTGACTTAGAAGCGGAACGTGGCAGGTCACGTTGAGCCAGCCCTGGTGCCTGCCCTCAAGGGCGGGCCAGAACCGGGACAGCAGGGCCCCTAGGCTGTGGGGCTCGCAGGCGGGTGCAGTGACAGCCGTACTTGGGCACCTGCTCACAGGGGCATCCCTGCGGGAGCACACCTCCCAACACAGACCTGCCTGTGTCGGGGGCCGCCTCTGGGGGCCAGGACCATGGCCCCATTGGTCAAGCGTGTCAAGGGCTCTGACCAGGTGACCAACACGGCGGGTCTGTGTGTTCCACGGCTGTGCTGCGGGAGCCCCGACGAGGACTCGGCCGCAGAGCGGTCAGCTCATACCTGTGGCTCGGAGTCGGGTGCCGGGGTGAAGCCAGAGTCCTGCCCAGAGCGAGGCGGGAACCCGGGAGAGAGCACAAGGGTACTGAGCCAGAGACCGAGGTTGGCTTTGCGGCAGGAAGAGGGGGCAGCTGGGAGAGGCCTGGGCCGCGGTGCCTGAGGGGACGGAACTGTCACGCGCGGCCCGGCAGAGACCTGCTCCTCAGGCCGGCTGTGGGTCTGTGTGGCGTCCTCAGCAGCCCCACCGCCTCTGCTGCTCGTGCCCAGGGGTGCCCCGTGCTGGGGAGTTGCAGGGGAGCGCTGAGATGGGTGGAGGTGGCCAAGAGTGCAGGCCCGGGGACAGGCCCCAGGAAAGGAGCAGGACGGAGCTGGGAGCACATCGGGATGGGACATAGAGCTGGGAGCCTGTCCGTCGGGGTGGACCAGCCATGGGGAGCACGTCGGAGCAGGGCAGCCTCGGGGAGCATGTCAGGACAGAGCTGGGAGCACGTCAGGGCCCGACAGCCTTGCGGAGCCCGAGCACAACTGGAGACGACGGTGGCAGTGGGGCCGTGGGCAGCGAGGGACGGGTACCGTGTTGGCAAGACCCTGGATGGTGAGGGGTGTGGAGAAGCCGGCAGAGCTGGGTGCCCCACTTTGCAAATGACAGCCAGACAGGAGCAGCAGGGGGGGGCAGGGCTCAGAGCAAGGTGACCTCCCCGCCCTCTGAGAAGGCAGCAGGGGGTGCAGAGGGACATCCCTGCCTCCTGAGGGCAGAGTCTGGGTTGAGAGAGCACAGAGAGCCTGGAAGTGGGTGGGGTTGCAGAGCTGGGGGTGTAGAGGAGACGGGGGCGGGTGAGGGCCCGGCCTCAGTGCCCAGCTTTGCCCTACCCACCCACCCACTCGTGCTGGCCGCGGGGCCTGTGGAGTGGAAGGAGCAGGACGCGGCCATGGACGTGACCGTCAGGGACAGCCAGGCCAGAGCCCGTGGCTCCCGTTGTTATCGTTGCTCTGACCCTGACTCCCAGCAGTGTTCGAGTACTGGATGGGCAGGCACTCCAGCCGCGTTCCGGGTGACCTTGGTGAAAATGACAGATCTCGGTGGCTCTCAAAACATGGAGCTCTGACGCCCCGAAGCCCCAGAGGCCAGGCCCAGCGTGCAGGTGGTGCCAAATCCAGATGTCAGAGCAGACACGCCAGCCCTCACGGCAAGGATGTGCACAGCATCCAACAGTAGGAATTTTCAATTATCAAAATGCCATGGCTGTTAAAATCATGTCATCAGACACCCAGGGCACCGAGCTCCCGTGAAACCGGTTCGGGCGATTCAGCAACAGCTGTTGTGTGTCCGTCAGGCGGCTCCCGCTCAGGTCAACTCTGGCTGCAGACCTTTAACTACAGGACCGAACCCAAAATACGCGACGAGGACAGGGCAGAAGGCGTTGTCGCGAGAGCCCTCGGGTGCCACGTGACAGGGGAGGTGTGTGGGCCGGGGGCGTGGACCAGGCTCCTGGGGCACATGGAGGCCACCCCCCAGCTCCCCAGGTGCTCTCGGGCACAGGTGGGCACGGCCCCTGGAGGCAGCGCCACTGGCCCGAGGCTCGTGACCACCGCGAGTTTGGTGGGTTTTGCGTGGGGCCCTGGTTGGGGGACAAACCAGAAAGGCCATTTCCTGCCAGAAGCAGGAACCAAGGGCAGAATCGGTTACTGCACGTGGACTCCCCTGTGGGGTTTGCAGGTGGCGAGTTTGCATGCCTTGCGTGACCAGACGTCCCGGGGTGGCTTACGAGGAACGTTTCTGTTAGGTGTGAGTGCCCCATAAATCCGCCTGGCTGTCGCTCCCACAAGGCAGCCGGGACTGGGAGCGAGCGTCCCCCGTGGTAGCAGGAGAGTTCACTCTACCCCCCCACGCCAGCTTGCGCCTGTCCTGGGCACGCAGCCGTCCTCTGCGGAGATCCGCGGTGCGGACACGGACAGACGTGTGCGCCAGCTGGCGGGCGCAGAGTGGCCGGTGAGCCTCAGGCTTGAGGGAGGGCGCAGGCCTTGGCCCTGCCGAGGCCTCGGGAAGGGAGCGGGCGGCGTCCCAGGGCCTCCCGTGGGGCTGCGCTCGGGGCGAGCGTACAGCGAGGCGCCAGGCTCTGTCACTCAGCACTGCTCCGACCATCTGAGCTCCAGCCCCCAGGGCCAGGCCATGCCGAGGGGGCTCTGGGGCCGTGGGACCCGGCGGTGTGGCTCCTGAGAACCGGGTGCCCTCCGCTCTCCCGCAGTAAGGGGTGCACCAGTCACGGGCACGTGCCCATCTCTTCTCTGGGAGACCCGCCTCCTCCCGCGTCTAAGCAGACGGTGGGGAGCGTGCGGCTCTGGGAAGCTCCCCCCTCACCCCTCTGCCTTCACGTTGCCCTGAGGAATGTCCACGGTGGCCCCACAGGAGCGCTCACCTGAAAGTGATGATTTGACAGAAGGCCTGCAATAAATACTGACATCTTGTTTTCAGAGACCGAGTTGCTTGTTAAAATTTCATTCTAGAAATGAAACCTGAGGCCAGAATACCATTTTCTTTGCAACACTGTGAAACATAGATGTTTCGCACGGGGGTGGGTCCTGGATGGGATGATGACGTGGGGGTTCTAGAAGGCCGATGGGACCGTCAGGAGGGCACATTCAGCTCCTTTCCTAGAGGCCAGGAAGCAGAGTCCCATGGAGCGGAAGTGACCTCTCCCAGGGCCTACCTACCGAAGACCGGCCTGGAGACCCACCGTGCGCCCGCCTGGCACTCACCACGTCTGGTTTTCGTGGCTTTGGCAGGCGATTGAGATCACAACCTGCGAGGCTCCAAAGCTGGTAAAGCGAGAGTGTGTGCTCGTACATCAGCTGCCCACGCTTGCACGTGGCCGATGGGCCTGTGCCCCCCACACCCACACAGACGCGTGGGGTCAGCCTGTTTCGCGTCCTGTTTTTCACTGGCTTTTCAGTGATGCCACACAGCCAGCCAGCGTGGGCGCCGGGCGCTCTCTTGGTATTAACTTCCTTCCGTGCTGTTTTTGTTAACTTTGTGGCGGGGGGATTAGGAACAAAATAGCTCAGCAGTCCTTCAGAGCAGAGAACGAGGCCCACAACACGCGCTGGCTTCAAAAGGGCTGCTGGAGCCCTTTGTGAACGAGCCGGCATCTACAGAAAACGTCCGTGGTTCTCATCGCCAAGATGAGCCAGGCACGTGGCTGAGACCGTTCGGCCTGAAGACAAAGTTCAGCGAAAGCCGCTGGCAGGCAGGTGTCGATCGGCCTGGGGCCGCCGAGAGCCACCGCGGGCGACCCGGGTCCTCAGAGGGGACCGTCCTGTGTGGGCGGGAAGGCGGAGTGCATCCCTGGTCGTGACGTGGACACGGGACGAGCACCGGGACCTCCTCGCCTCCGGCCTCCGTGGCAGGGCGCTGAACCCCAGCTGTGGCGCCTGTGCTGAAGCGGACAGTTTGTATAAAGACTGCGGTTTGCACGTTGCATTCACAGAATCTGAGGGCTTGTGCTGCAGCGTCCCGGTGGGCACAGAGAAAGGTGCTCAAATCCAGGGCCGGTGTCTGACGTGAAGGATGCTAGCAACGTCATCGCGGCAGAGTCTGAGGCGGACGTGGGCCAAATCCCACCTCGAGTCTTTTTAAGTTTGAGTGGAACGGGCCACGCGCATGTGTTCCCGTGTGGCTGTGGCTGTTTTCGCACGACCAGGGCCGTGTCGGGTGGTGGCGACAGGCCCCGTGGCCCAAAGACTCCCGTTTCCTCTCGGGCCCTGGGCGGGAACACCTGCTGGTCCAGACTCACTTGCGGTGCCCTGCAACCCCTGACGGACAGTCCCCACGGCGCAGAACCTGCTGGAAGCTGCCCTCACCAGCCCGTGGCTGAGGCCGTCCGGACACAGCTGTGCGAACGGGGCCCAGCCTCAGGGGAAAGAAAAGTAGACACCGCGAGAGCCTCCAAAGCCAGCCCTGATCTTCTGGGCCTGCCCAGTGGGAGGTCCCAGAAGCGGGCTCCCGGGCCGGCCGAGGGCCTGGGGTGAGGTCGGTGGCGGACTCTCTCGGTGCCTGACGTGATCAGAGGGAAGCCCGGAGGCTCCTCCCGCGTCACAGACGCTCTCCTCCCGGACGGGCTCGCTCGCTGGGTCTTTGGGCACCGGCCCGTGCGCGTCTGGCGGGTCTTAACCTCGTGCGCTGGGGTTTTCGTCACTTCCGCTGCCTGAGGTCAGAGGGACGTCTCAATGCGGTCACGTCCGAGAGTTGTTCCCGAACGGAGAAGCAGTTCATTTTTGGTTCTGCTGGCCCAAGCTGGTGCCTTATGGAGTTGACTTTGCTGACTTAAGTGGCGCATTTCGTGGCAAATTTTATTTTATAACACAAAGCATGAGAGACTGGAGGCTCTCCCACCAGCCCTGCTGCCCTCTGGCCGTGGTGTTCCCGCTGAGCAGGCGTGAGAAGGGCCCGGGTGGGCCTCCGGAGACCCGTTTGACTGAGTTGAGAGTCTGACATGAGCAGTGGGGCCTGTGGGCCTTTGGAAGGTGCAGGACAGGAAGTGGCCTTTGGTGCAGCACAAATGTGGTCCGGCCTGCGCGACCCTGGGGGAACCCAGTGACGAGTTCCGCAGAGGCGCACCCAGCCTGCTCCAGTCACCCGGGCCCCTGTGTCCGCAGCACTGCCCGCCTCGCCCAGAGGGAGGAGGGAGACCCGGGAAGTCTGGTGATGGATTCAGAATCGAATAGAGCAAGCTTAAGTGACGGATGAAGTCACATAGCTTCCTGTTGTGACACGTCCTCCATTGTAGCCGGGCGGGTGTCATTAGACCACGTGCAAGTGGTTGTTTTGTGTCAAGAAGTGTTTTTTCCACTGTTCATGGGGCCGTTTTCCTCATTTCCCTAATGTAACTAAACCACCGGACCTCTCGGTGGGTGTTTACACCTTTAGCCCGTCCATTCTCTTAAATGTGCTTATCTGGTATCCCCGTAAAGATCCCAGGTGTCAGATTAACCCACTGACCGTGTGCCTGCCGGCCATCCAGTCGCTTGTGGCTGGCGTGCAGGAGCGAGCGGGGGCCCCCTGCGGGCCAGGGCTGCTCAGGGGCTCCCTGTCCTCTCAGCCCCACAGCTGTGGGTCCCTGGTGCCGGGGGCAGTCGGTGACTGTGCCTGTCTTGAATCCGGACCACGTGAAGGGGGCATGGGGGGAACAGAGGCACCCCTACCTACAGGAGCGAGACAGGACCTACAGGGAACAGAAAATGAGGCGCGGGGAAGATCTTTAGCAGTCTGGACGGCTGGTGCTGCGGGGGTTATAGGTCCCCCAACATAATCAACCAGCCTCCTCCAGAACCCCTGTGCGGTGGCTTCCCTGGGCATTCACGTCGGGGCTTAGTGGTTCAGGCTTTGAGGGTGCTGTGAAACGAGCCGTGATCACCTTCTGGGTGCGAGTCCTCCGATCCCAGCCCCCGTGCGGAGCCCTTATTCTGCTGACCTGGGTGGGAGATGGGCCAGTCTCCTCCCGGCCGTGCCCCCTCAGCTAACCCAGTGTCGCCTTCTCCTGCCCTTCGCAGAACCGTGGTCATGCCCATCGCCAGCGAGTTTGCCCCAGACGTGGTGCTCGTGTCTTCAGGCTTCGACGCCGTGGAGGGCCACCCCACGCCGCTCGGCGGCTACAACCTCTCCGCCAGATGTAAGTCGGGTCTGCACATCGCCCAGGAACACAGTCTGGATTCTGCTGTTTTTACGGTTAGGCGTGCTCTGCATTTCAAGCCTCCGCTTTAGCAACGATAGGAGGAAACTGTCCGTGTTACATCTTCCCAAAAATGTGACCGTGCCTGCCGCCCCCGAGAACACAGGGCAAACAGTGGATGCACCGGGTGGCCCTCGCGGGGGCCGTGCCCCAGCACAGACCTCAGAGCCCTCCCTGATGCCGGCCGGGGGCCCGGGGGCCCACACACCGACCGGGCAGAGGGCCAAGCGTAGCATCACGCCCAGCGCCCCTCTGTGCGTGGCCAGCCTGCTGCTGGCCGTGTTCTGAGCTTCTCCTCTTACAGGCTCCCCTTGGAGACCATGTGGGTTCAGGCCCAGGCCTCCGCGACAGAGCAAGGCCGGGGAACGTTTGGGTTTCCCGTTGCAGATAGAAGTTAGTTTACACTACCGTGTGGTCTGTTCGGCGTGCGATAGTGTCACGTCTAAAACCACGTATGTGCCTTAATTGGAAGTTATTTTATTGCTGGCTTTGCGGGAGTTGTGACCACCGATCGCCATGACAAACGCGATGATGATGAACAAGTTAGAAATACTGCAAAAATTACCAAAATGTGGCGCAGAGACACAGAATGAGTCAAGTGCTGCTGGAAAAACAGTGCCCACGGACCCACGGACTTGCCCGACTCAGGCTTGCCCCAGACCTTCCCTTTGTAGAAAGTGCAGTAAAGGCTGAGGCGCCTGTCGCCCTCAGGGCAGCCTCGGGGCCCCATCACCGTTCCCGTCAGAGATGTAGCCGAGGCTCTGGGAGGTCATGGCCCAGCGTGGTCTGCTGATGGCGGCCTCTGACGGGGCCACTGAGGGCAGCACAGCTTTTGCCAGCTTGAATAAACATCAGAACGTGCTGGTGAGGACGGTAATCACCACTACCCGTCATGTGTTTTCTCCTGGTGGGAGGGGAGGTGGGTGCAGAGGGCATGCTGTGGCTCTTGATGAAATCCAGACACGCCAGACGTGGTGTGTGAGTCCGGGAGGGGCCCGCGCCATGGCGCGTGTGCCCGTGACCGTACGTGCACACGCGTGTGCCCAGCACACCGGCCGACCAGACCCCTGCGCCTCTCCCTGGCCCCGAGGCTCCCCGGACACAGCCTCAGGGGCACATTCTTGGTGCCTCTTCTGTGGCCCCAGCCCAAGAACCGAGGGGCTCCTCCGGGGGCTCCTTCCTTTCCCCCAAACGAGATGATTTGCGGCATTATAAAATCAAAGCACCAAACCGTAATTCCTGCTCTCGAACAGATCAAACAGAATCCCAAACCGAAATTCTTCAATGAATTTATTACGATCAGACCTGGCTTCTATTATGTGTTTCGGAGCGCCAGCCCCCTGGGTCTCTGTAACGTGATGTGATGCGTCTCTGGGTGCTTGGATCTGCGGCCCGCCCTCGCCCTCCGCTCACGCCCCCCATTTCCTGTTGCAGGTTTCGGGTACCTGACGAAGCAGCTGATGGGCCTGGCTGGCGGCCGGATTGTTCTGGCCCTGGAGGGGGGCCACGACCTCACGGCCATCTGCGACGCCTCGGAAGCATGTGTTTCTGCTTTGCTGGGCAACGAGGTAGGAGGCGCAGGGCGTCCGCGGCTGCTCTGTGCACAGGCTCGGGGCTCGGACCCTGGACCCGTGGGCTCTGGTGCATCTGTACTCAGGCCGGGGTCATGTCCGCCCCCCCCCCCCCGCACCCCGTAGCAGGACCGCTGAACACTTGCACAGTGCCCTGGTCGTGGCTGGAAGGGTGGGAGCTGAAGGGCTACCCAGAACCCTTTTCTCTGTAAAGGTGGCTTGGGATCCTGTGTTGTAAAGGTACCCGCCTCTGTGTGTGGGTTTTCTCATCTCCCTACTTCCTCCGTGGACAGTCCCTTCTCAGAGGGGTTCGAAGGTAAATTCTGGGGGCAGCGTCACCGTGCAGGTTTGCAGACTAGGGCATGGGGTCCCGGCAACACCCAGACTTGGGGCCCTGTCCCCACCCAGGCCACGGGACAAAGTCAGGGGGATGCTGGCTTGCACAGCTGAGCTCGGAGGGTCTGGACCGGAGAGGGAGCCTCTCAGGGCTCAGGGGAGAGTGTCCCCGGGAGCACTGTATCCCAGGGCAATGCTGGGCCGGGCTGCCCTGGCCCGGCTGGGGCCGCAGGTGGGGAGAGCTGCCCAGCCGTGGGCGGACGGAGGGCGGGCGGGCAAGTGCCGCCTGCAGCGTCTGAAGTGTGACCCGACACTGTAGTTCCCACTTTGATTTTCCGAAATGTGCTCTTCCTGAAGTTTTAAAGCCATCCTCAGGCCTTCGGACATGGGGTCACACGCCTGTATCCTGACCACCTCGGAGGAGCGCGGGGCAGGTTCCGGTCCCTCACAGCACAGCCTGTTCTCGTCGCTCACTGTGGCATCGCCGCGTGGTCTGAGGCCAGCCGGCCGGTGTCTGGGGGAGCTCCTAGATCAGGCAGGGCTCCCTAGATCACAGGCCCGACCTACAGCAGGGAGGGGCCGGGGGCCCAGGCTCACCAGACACAGGGCCCACGTGGGGGACGTCCGGAGGCGACCCACGAGGTCTGCAGTGTGCGAGGACACGCTCCAGCCGGGCGGATTCCCTGGGCGTCCGTGGGGACGCCGCCGTCCCCGTGTGGGTCTCCCTCCCCCTGCTAACCTGGACTCAAGAGGAGCCTGAGTGACAAGGCCCCGAGCTGCGGCTGGAGGACGCACGGCTCAGGACTCCGCCTGACCGGAGTGGTGCCTGATCCCCGGGCCACTTGTGGGCGCTCCCAAGAAGATCTGGAAGGCAGGGTGGCCCGGAGGATTGGGGCGGGAGGCCCAGGCAGAGACGGCCCCTGTGGCTGTCGGGCTCTGCTCTGGGCTCCAGTCAAGCAGGCCCTGGTGGGGAGGGCGCCCCTCCCGTTCCACTGAGCCCTCTGTCGGGAGGCCCAGAAGCCCAGGGAGAGGGTGGTGCTGTGCAGAGTACCGGCCAGTTCCCCCATGTGGGGCTGCCTCTGCCTGGCCCAGGAAGGCCCCTGTTGAGGCCCCTTTCTTGTGCTGTAGACGCCGCGTCTCAGCCTGGGAGCTTGAGCCAGTTAGGCACGTCTCCCAGAGCGGGCTCTGGCCCACCGCACGTCTGCCCTCCTAGACCCCCGTCGGGATCACGCAGCGGGCAACAGGGCCCACACGGCGTTTGAGGAGGGCTCCAGTGGAAGGTGCAAAGTGGGGCTCAAGCAGGCACTTGAGGGCGCTTGTGAAATTTGACTGCATCCCACGGGACACGGTGGGACGACAGAGCGCAGACAGGTCTCCAGTGACAGAATGCGGGGCTCTGTCCTCCGGCCACTGGCGGTCAGTATTGTTCCGTTTGACTTGGGTGAGCCGTCAGCAGCACGCTGTGGACACGGCAGGGTGAGACGTGTGGCCTGTGCCCCTCCAGGCTCGGGGTGGACGGGGCTGACAGGATGACATTTGGAGGCAAACGTGAGGTCTGAACCCCAAGGCCTAGTTGCAGCCACGCGAGCTCAGGGTCACATGTGAGCACGGCCTGTCGGGGGTTCGATCCTCGGGCAGCCCTGTGTGTGTCCTCTGGGTGAGGTGGCCAACAAGGAGAGGAAGGCAGGTGACCCTGGGGGGTGTGGCAGCAGGGAGGAGAGCCACAGCGTCTCGGTCCTGGGCCCACACACCCGGAGGAGGGCGCTGGCCCAGGGGGCTGTCCTAGGACCGCAGTGGTGGAGACCCTCCCGTGCTTCCTGCCCAGCAGCCCTGGATGGCCGGGCTCAGGGTCTGGAGGAGCAGAGTCACCGGCACCCAGCTCCCGGAAGGACTTGCTTCCACGTGCCCCGTGGCGCCCGGGCCGTGGCCAGCGGTGGGGCGTGGGCGGTGGGCCTCAGGGGGCTCTGTTCTCCTGACAGCCTTTTGTCACACGTGCTGTGTAGACCACGGAGCTTGGTGGCAGACCTCCTTTCCGGTCAGGTTGTTAGCAATGTGCTGGGCTGTTCTGGAATAAAAGACGGGCCTGCTTTTTAACATGTCCACACGTCACCACCCTTTCTTCACAGAAAACAGCCCGCGCCCCCAGACTTTGTGCGAGAGTTTAAGAACAGCTGAGTAATATACTCAGACCATCCTGAAGCTTTTCGATTGTTACAGCTAGTCGTTTTACACAACGATAAAGCCCAGGCCCGGTCCGCTCCCTGGGCGTTTCCCTTCTACGAAGAAAACGAAGAAAACGTTTTCCTTAAGCACTAGTTGTATCGAGGTCTCTTGAAAGTCTTTCTCCTGCAAGGAAGCTGCACTGAGCCCCGCTCTTCCTCCCTGCGGGCTTTCCGGGCTGATGCTCCGTGTGTGGGACAGTTTGGCACGCAGCCGCCGCGGCCTGCAGACAAGCGGTTGGACCGTCACCTGGGCCACCGGGTGACCGCCGTCTGAAGTCCGGCCTTGCTCCTGAGAGCCGTTTTACGTGATGGCTCCAGCTTTAGGTTATTTGCAACCATCGGTGACAGTTGACGATGGAAAATCGTTTGAATGTGCCACTTAAGTATTATAGAGGAAGCAGTGTAGGCAGACATGCGGGGAGCCCAGCAGGTGGGCACGGAGGCCTCCGGTCGGACTTGGAGCAGTGAGGGGCCCGGGGCACGGGCCCCCACAAGGGTAGGGTTCGTCTGGGCAATTTCTGCTTAATCATGGCGTATTTCAAAATTACGTGCTGCCACTCGGCCCAAGTCCAAGATCGGTGGAGAATGGTAGGGTGTCAGGTGAGACCGACGTCGAGGAAGGTGTGGGGGGATCTGGCCCCTCGTTGCACCCTCACGCTTAGGAAAGGAGCCGGTGCGACCACTCCCAGTGGTCACAACAATTGCGAGTGAGAGATGGGGACACGGAGAGACACAGAGATGGGAACAGACAGGTAGCGAGACCAGGAGAGACAGAGGCACAGAGATGGGGACAGAGACACACAGGGACAGGGACGGGGAGATAGTGACAGCCTGACAGCCAATCTTCATTCTCTCACGTGCACCCTCACCTGCACACGCCCTCACACGTGTTCACGCTCCCAGTCAGGCCCCCTCAGGCCCGCAGTGACCATCTGGGGGGGCCAGCAGGCGCTTGTGGGGGACACAGGATCTCAGATTGTGTGCACCGGGGCCAGGGTGGCGAGTCACCCGCTGACCAACATTTGGAAGGGCGGGCCCACGCCGTGTTCTAGAAGTGGGGAGAGCTGTACCTGCCCTGGCACAGAGTGTCCTCCTCGCCCCGTCATCGTGACAGTGGGATAAAGGGCGTGTGGTGACAGGCCGACCCTCCCTGGCCCCCTTTGTAGAGCGAGGATGAGGGTCCACGCGGTCGCAGGCTGCCTGGTTCCGCTCCCGGGGTGGCGGCTGAGCAGGGCCCGTGAACTGCCTGTCTGGCAGGTTCCGTTACTGACCGCCACGCTCCCACTGCGGCCCTGGCAGCAAGAAACACTGTTCACGGGGCTCACCTTCGGGGGGGTGCTGTTTTCAACGACTGCCCCTCTTCCAGGAGGAGCCACAGCTACGAGGACAGAGCCAGACAGAAGGCGGGGCGAGGGTGCGGGGAGAGGGGAGACGGGGGAGCTCTCTGGGGTCAGTCCCAGGACACGGGACCGGGTCCTCCGCACGGCTGGAGGGACCCCCAGGGGGCTGCCCCGCACGTGCCTGGGGAGGGGGCCACCAGCAGCTGTCAGAGAAGGCTCCGCGACATTGCAGGCACGGGGACGCTCTGAGCCTGTAGCCACTGCTTCCCCAGGACGATGGGGCCACTGCCTGGGCCTGACACGTGGTCCCCCAGCCCCCTGCAGGCGCCATCCAGAGCCCACTAAGCTCCCCGAGCCCCACTGCCAGGCCCTGCCGCCCGCTGTGTAGACCAGACGTGGTGAGCCCACCTCACCCGGGCTGTGGGTTAGCAGAGGTGGTGCTGGCTGTGCGTCTGAGCCCTTGACCTTTTCTCAAAAGGAATCGCGATTTCTAGTTCTTAGTCCTCCTATGGCTTGTGTTTGCATTTCAAAAACTTTGCTGGAAACCAGCCCCTCGTGTTCTACAAGCCTTTGTGTTTTCCCCGGAAGAGCTATGGAAAAGGCCTCTGACAGAGACGGTTAGGGAGTTGTGGCCGCGCCCCCGCCACGGTTCCACACACCACGGCTGCCCAGCCCGAGCGGGCAGACAGCAGCCCTCCCCACGCTCGGCACGGCCGAGGAACCACCGCTGACGTCTCAGGTGACCCCCAAAACAGCCACAGTTGGGGACAGCCCTGGGGAGCGTCCCCCCTGGGCCCCAGCCGTGAGCAGCTGTGGACGTGCTCGGGGACGGCAGGGATCTGGCCGAGGATGCCACTGGCACGTGACGGGGGCCTTTAGCCTCAAAGAGTGACCAGGCAGCGACCCAGGGCCCCTGGAGGCCCCTCTGGAGGCGGTCGGCAGGGAGCCCCCCGGGGCATGGTCAGGGTGCCTGTGTCCTTGGAAGGATGAAGACTGAAATCTGTTCTTGGGGAGCAGCCCTGCTGAGGCCAAGGAGGCTGGAGTCTCCCTCAAGAGAAGGGACCCACCGCACTCGGGGAACAGAGAGGCCGGAGCCTGCTAGAGGGCGCGCTGCTATGGGGAGCTGGGCCCGGGAGGGGCCGACAGAACAGCCAGGGCCTGGTGTGGGGGTCAGAGCTACAGGTGGGCCCCCTGTGACACCCTCTGGCAGGAAGGAGGCCTGGCGTGCCTGCTGGGTGCCGGCAGTCTGGACTCAGAAGCGGGAAGGAGACCGCGAGGGCCAGAAGGCTGCCAAGCTGACCGACGCGGCCGGGGCCCTGGCTGGGTGGCTGCGCAGGGGCTCTGGCGGCCCAGTGCGGGCCAGAGAAAGGCTCCCAGTATGGACGGGACGGGCGCCCCCGTGGACAGGCCCCGGCGCCTCTGTCATGGAAGTTTTCCCAGCCGACGCAGATCTTCCCACGTGAGGAAAAGCACGAGCAACGACCCAAGTTCTGCCAAGATGTCTTGAGCACCATTTTCTCAGGCCGTCGGAACCTGTTGGTTCTTGAGCGGCCCTTCCAGACTGTGGAGCAGAAAAAGGCTTTCCCCTCCTAACAAGACTCAGGAGCTGAAGCCCTAAACAGCTGTCACCAGACCAAGAACGGTCTGCAAGGGCCAGACGTTTGTCATCCTCAGAGTGGGACACGGAGTGTTTTCCTGCTCACTTGTGCTGAGACCAGCATCTCAAATACTAAGCTTAAGGTGTGCTTCTGAAGTGTTCCAGACCCAGGCATCAGGGCGGCTTTGGGAGTCTCCTGTCTACAGCCGGCCCATTTGCTCCCCCCCAAAAGAGCCGTCTCCCAGAGGAGGCCCGCAGTGCGAGCATGAGGCTTTGGAGCTCAGTGACACATCTCCCCGGCTGAGCGCCCCTTCCAGGACACAAAGGCCCGGGGACTCCGTGAGTCTGGCACGTGGGGGACAGGGCCACCCTCCCTCCGCTCGTGTTGGATGGCCTTTCTGTTGGGGGGGGTTCCGCCACCCATTTCTCTGCTCCCCACCTCAGCCTCCCGATGCCTGCACCCCCACCTGGCCCCGTCTCCAGAAAGGTCACTGCTGCCCCGAGGGTGGACAGGGCAGCCCACCCCCACACCAGCCTGCCCTGCCCTCCCCTCCACCACTCTGCCCCCTCCCCCTGCCCGGCCACGCCTGTCACGTCCCCAGGGCGCCGTGGCTTCGCCCTCCCGGCTTCTTCCTGGTCTTTGCTCAGAGGGCACCTGCTCAGGACCACCCTGGCCGCTGCATGGACACGGCAGTCCCCCCACTACACCCTGTGTCCCGCGACCCTGCTCTCTGTTGGATCTACTCCTCCAGTAAGGCTGTAGCTCACCTGGCGGTCTCTGCCCATCGCTAGGATGGCACCCTAAGGCTGGGGGATGGGTGGCGTGTGCTTTGTTCACCGACGTAGCCCGGGTTTGTAGAACAGCGGTTCGCACTTAGCGGGCCGCCCCCGCTAAATGAAAGAACAAAATCGGAACTGGTCAGGGGGAACACTCTGAGTCCTAAAATTTCTCCCGTTTCCCGGCCCTTTGTCGCCACGCCAAGGCTGGAGGCAGGCAGCCTCGCATCTCCGGCCCCGGAACAGAGCCCGGGGCCGGGTGCTGCTGGGTGGCTGCTCGGGGCCCAGCTGACCAGGGGCCAGCCTGCAGGGCGATGCTCTGGGCCGGCACCCTCTGCCCCTCAGCACGGCCTCGCGCTGGCCTTGCAGCTCTCCGCCGGTCGTCACGGGAGCAAACCACGTGCCGCCGGCGACACGCTGCCACCTTGCTTCCCTTCTGTCCCTTTACTCCTTTCCTCCCGGAGACCCCACAGGAGCCGCCCACTCTTCCCAGGGGCATCCCCTCGGGCTTCTGTGCAAGCCCACGCCGCGGGCGGTGCTTTGCCCCGAGGTTTCTTGGGATCTTTCCCCTGAATTCCGCGTAACTTCATGACAGAGAAGGGACAAGGTAGCCAGCACGGGGGGGACATGTCCTCCCCGTGTGCTCCTCATGCAAGCACGCAGACACCTCACCTTCCAGAAGCCTTCGCCAGGAGCTGGGACGGAGAACGAGTCCCAGGCCGCAGTCGAGCCACAGGCTGATCCCCTGGGGTGCCCGAGACAGGGAGCCGCCGCGGGAACGCGGTGGGGACAACGCAGGGACACGCGCACCGCAGCGCTTGGAGGGGACGGTGGCAGAGGCTGTTGTGAAGGGAGGGTGACGTAAGCCCCTGGAGGGCCAGCCAGCCCCGGAGACTGGCCGTGAGGAGCCTCCCACCCCGAGCAGAGCCAGTCACGACTTCCTTGCCCTGATGCAGCCCTCTGTGTCAGAGTGAGACTTTACGGAATGAGTTGGGTTTCTGAAACCGTTTTTCTCTTAAAAGCGGGAGATCGAAGTTTCTGACAATACTGGAGTCGGGCAGGACAGACAGGGCTGCGCGGCTGTGAAAACCCGAACCCGGCGCGTGGAGCCCGGGCTCCGCCCCTCACCGCCGTCCACACAGGACCTGGCCAAGCAGGCTGCCCGCGGGGACGCTGCTGTCTGCACACGGGGGCCCGGCCAGGGGGAAGGGGTGCTGGGGGGACCGTCCCGCTGTGGCTCTGATTCCACATCTCCCCACCTGGGACCCACAGGTTGTCGCGGGTCGGCGGTTCCCGCGAAGTCCCCGCGCGGGGCCTCGGCGGCACTCGGCCTTCTGACGTTCGACCTCTGCCCGCCTGAGGGGCGAATGGCACCCCAGGCGGGGTGGGCCGTTTCCTCATCACCTGCCGGTTCCGAGCCTGTCCTCGGGGACCTGTTGGCAGCCCATGCTTTCTTCTCTGGTGAAGCTCATGGCTTTTGCCCAGTTTTCTACTAGGCCAGTGTTTTCCCATTTATTCGTGGAGGGGAAGATAGGACAGATGGGTGGGTGGGTGGATGGCAAGACGGACGGGTGGACAGGGGATTGGACGGGTGGTCAGCTGGACGGATGGATGGGTGGACAGATGGACACTTAGGCATCTTCTCCTTTTCTGTCCTCTGGAAGAGCGAGTGCAGGATCAGAATAATTTCTTGCCTGGAGGGCTCTCCTGCGCCCTGGGTTTCCTTTGCAGGAAAGTTCTAGGTGACTGACTGCGTCACTTCTGTCCCTTCTCGAATTAGTGCCGGGAGGTCACGCCGTAGCAGATTCATCCACCTCAGCCAGGTTTCTTCTTGCCTGTGGCACCCCAGCCGTGGCCCCCTCATCTCCCGGCTCCGCTTCTGTGCCTGGGTGGCGGCCTCGCCCAGTCCCGCCACGACCCATCCATTTAAGTTGTTTCAGAGAATCAGCTTTCAGCCCCAGTGGCCTTTTTCTTTTCCAGAATATGTTTCTGCCCCTTTTCTGTGTGTTTTCTTCACGTCTTTGCCCGGCCCTGCTCTGTCCTGTCGCTCACCTCTTAAACTGAGCACCTGCTTTTTCTGACCTGTGTGTGCCTCAGACGGATACGTGGCACTTGGATTACTTTTTATTTCTGAGCATTTCCTGAGTTCTGTCGATGACTTCCTTGACCCGTGATTGGTGGGTGTGCGGGTTTTTGTTTGTTCGAATTTCCAAACCTAAAGGCTCACAGCTCTCGTCTGTTACCGGTTTCTTCCGGCTCGTGCATTGGCAGGAGCAGGAGGTATGGCTGCAGGGACGCTCCCGGTGTGTTGAAGGAGCACGCCTCCTCCGCCCGTCTCCCTGGGCTCTGTCCTCTCCTCCGCGCCTGTTGTACCGTCCACATTTGGTTTTCTCTGTTGACTTCTGCCTGCTCTTTCTAAGGAAGACGGGCCACCCTCTCCTCCCACGGCGCGCCTCTGTCCACCCACTTTGGTTCTGGCGACATTCACCTCCTACGTGTTGAGCAAATTTCGCCAAATGTGTACAAATTTTAAGTCCTGTGCTTTCGGTGAATCGAAAGTTGTATCACTCGTAGAGCCCTCCTTTATGTCCAGCCACGGTTTCCCGCTCACGCACGTGGTGTGGACCACTGACCGTGTCCTGAGGCTCCTGCTCTGGCTTGTCTGTCTCTCCTCCTGCCTTCCAGCCCCCTCCTCTCTCAGCATAAGGCTGGATTTCATTCTGATTTTTATTTTATTTTATTTTATTTTTTAATTTTTTTTTTCAACGTTTATTTATTTTTGGGACAGAGAGAGACAGAGCATGAACGGGGGAGGGGCAGAGAGAGAGGGAGACACAGAATCGGAAACAGGCTCCAGGCTCTGAGCCATCAGCCCAGAGCCTGACGTGGGGCTCGAACTCACGGACCACGAGATCGTGACCTGGCTGAAGTCGGACGCTTAACCGACTGCGCCACCCAGGTGCCCCTCATTCTGATTTTTATAGCCAGTCCGAGGTGTGGCCCTTAAGTGGAGACTCTGGTCCTTAAATGTCCTTTGTTGCTCTGCTGCTTTTTCCAGACTCGCGTCCACATCTCGCCCTGCCCTGCGCTCCCCCGGTTTCCGCAGCACTTTCTCACCAACGGCTTCTGGCCTCCTCTCGCCGTGACGACCTGACGGGGGGCTCCCCGCGTTCCACCTGCCCCCGCTGCATAGGAGGGCTACACAACCGGTTGTGGTTTCCAGTAGTGATCTTTACACACACTAACACGTACCCGTGATGTGGTCAGTGGCCTCTTCCCTCCCCCTGCCCCCTGGACCCAAGTGGGGCCGTGCACTAAACGACACCCTGTTGGACGTGGTTGTACAGAAAAGCTACGTGCTTCCCGTAACTGACCTGTGCCTGGTGCCCTGCGTGTTTATTTGCTCTGTTGGGAGCCCCCCCTCCAGCCCCCTCCCGGGTCACGTGCAATCCCTGACCGGCAGCTCATGCCTCTTGCTTGCTTTTTTTTTTTAGCTTCGCCGGGATGGCACCATTCCCGTGGTGTTCTGTGGTCCCTGTTTCTGTGGCCTTTCCTGCATTCACGTTCTTTGCTCATTTCTTCTCGCTTCTCAGACCGTCACCTGGGACCACTGTGCCTTCAGCACGAGCACGCCCCTTACGTGTCCCCGGAGAAGGACACGGCCGTCACCTTCCCCCGTTTGCCTGCTTTTATTAAAGGCGTGATTTTACCCTCACGCGTGAGTGAGCAGGGGTGCCCCTCTGGGTTGGCCGTCACTTTCTCTGGGCACACTGAAACAATCACACCCTGTCTTGTTGCTTTCTTTGCTGTGAAGCAGCCAGTGCCTGGCTCACCGGCTCCTTTGCACACCGTGTTCTCCGGCTGCTATCAGAGCTCTCTGCTGGTCTCTGATGTCGCACAGCCTCACTGGTGTGCACAGGGGTGGGTGTCTCGTATGATTCTTCCTGCTCGGGTCTCATCCCCCCTTCTGGACGGGGGATCCTTCCCGTCAGTCAGTCCTGGAGACGCCTCGGCCGTGGGCGCCCCTAACGACCCCTCCCCACCCCCTGGACACTGAGCAGATGAACGCAGCCCTTCCCCTCTGCCCGCTCCCCTCGTCCCTGGTGCATTCAGGCCACCCCTTCTGCTGTTGCTTCCAGGTTATCAGTTTAATCCTGGATAGCTGACCCTTCGGACGGTTTCCTCTCAGCCCATCTGACCTCAGCCTGGGAGCCAACCCTGGACGGCACTGCTCATGCCCAAACACGCCCAGCATTCGCTCGCCTTCCCACGACTGCCCCTCCCGCATCGGGCTCCATGCGGGACCCCACCGTGCGACCAGCCATGCCCTGTCCTTACCCTCTCTGGGCTGTGGGGGCCTCTCAAGCTTCCCTTGGTTGTCATTTTTGAAACGTTGACAATTTTTGGCAATCGAAGAATGCTACTCAGGTGTTTTGTAGAATGTCCTTCAATTGATATTTGCCTGGTTTTTCCTCATGATTGGACAGGGGAAAAAGACCGCGGGGTCAGGTGCCCCCCTGCTTCTGTCCAGGACAGTGCCTTCCCCGGGCCTTATCTCTGCCGAAGTGAACCGTGAGCCTTGTGTGAAGTCCCCTTTCTCCACTTCCACACGTGCTCTGTGGTGGATGTCGGGAAGAGGGGCTCAACTCACACTCGAGGGGACAGATGGGAAAGTGTGAAACTCCACGTCTTGGAGAGGGGGCGTGTGCAGAAGTTATTGAAATCCCTCTTCAGGAACATGTCTCCTCCCCACCCCCCCCCATCGATTTGTTCAATCGCTTTTTCCATCGGTATGGACTCCTGGACACGTTCATGCTCTGTGTGAAGTTCAGTACCCCCTGTGTGTCTCCCTCCCGATGGGCCTCGTGCGCATCCTGTCGGCACCACCTGCCATCTGGTCCCTCGAGACCACCAGGCCCTTCTCAGCCCTGCCCTGCACCAACCTTGGAAAATTCCATTTCCCCAAGGAGCCTGGTGCCCTCTGCTGGACAGTGATGTGCAAGAGCTTGTTCTCCTGACCCCAGTCCACGCTGGCTGACCTCTGTCTTACGATGTTTTGACTGGGCACTCAAGGAACTGAGCTGGCATTCCTGGTCGGCGGCCTGCTTTGGGGACGCAGTCCTCACGAGAGGGTCTGCGGCTGCTCTGCCAGGCACCTGAGCACTGCAAGCAGCGGCCTGTAAACCGGGCTGATTCTCAGGGGGCTGTGTCCCTTCTCCGCAGAGCCCAGGCCAAGAACCAAATCCTGCCCTGCAGTTGTCCACGTGAGGCCAGCTCATCTTCGGGGGGTTGGGGGGCTGTCCCAGGACGTGTGACTGCCCTGGGCAGGTTCTGCTTCCTTCTGGAACCCAGCACATCTCCCTGCATTTTAAAGGCTTGTCTAATCCTTTAAAGTTTTTTAGAATTACTTTTGTGTTTTCGTGATGCATTTGAACCAGCGTGCTTGGTTGTCATGTTGGGGACGCTCCAGTCTGCCCTGTGGCCCCTCTGGTTGTCTTGTGTTTCTTTCCTGATTATCTTCTGCTGCCTGCACTGAAGGAAAATCTTGCAGCAAAAGGTCCCTCCCCTCTGAGAGATTCTGTTCACTTTTCTTCCTTTTACCCTTTCCCCATTTTTGGAAGAACATCGTCAATGGGGCGTTCAGGCATTCTTTGTAAGACTAGGGACATGAAAGCAGTATTTCCGAAAAGTAGCCATGCTTTCCCCTACTGATGAGCCTGTGGTGCAGTGTCCCAGGAGGCCCCAGGTCTTGTACACCAGCCACTCGTCGACACGGTGCCTCCCGACGCAGCAACTCACAAGTAGACCGGACGGTCTCCTACAAAAATTACCCTAAAGAAAATAACTCTAGGGGCAGGTGTCCGACTTCAGCTCAGGTCTTGATCTTACGATCCTTAAGAAAAAAAATCTACCTTTGTTTAAAACAAAAATCGTATAGGGGCACCTGGGTGGCTCAGTCGGTTAAGCGTCCGACTTCGGCTCAGGTCACGATCTCATAGTCCGTGAGCTCGAGCCCCGCATCGGGCTCTGTGCCGACGGCTCAGAGCCTGGAGCCTGCTTCCGATTCTGTGTCTCCCTCTCTCTCTGCCCCTCCCCTGCCCATGCTCTGTCTCTCTCTCTCTCAAAAATAAATAAACGTTGAAAAAAAAAATGTTAAACAAAAATCGTACAGTAAATAGCAAAGA